GAAAGCTCGGGCAGACCTGCATTCTCGACCAACATCTTGGGACCAGTTGCTCCTCTTCGGAAGGATACGCGATTCGATAGAATCAGGACTGCCGTAGACTTGTAGTGACCCACCCGTGTTGTTGTGACCGGAAGCCGGGCCCTGGGGTCGACCTAGTCTCTTCCGCGGCTAGCTACATCTCTGTGTCCGACATGGACTGCATGGCTTGGGTCCGGGTATGAAGGGCGATTGCATCGATATGATGATCTATTAATTGCGCCCGGTCTATTATCTGTTGTACTTCTTCACTTACTGCCTTCATAGGCTTGCAGTTGCGCGGGATACCACGAATAGTCTGCGTGGTAATCACGTAAATCCAATGCTGATCGTAGAACAGCCAAGGCGGTGAACAGCATACACACCAGGGAAATACCACGAGATACAAAATTGACATATCTCGAAACAGTTACGCTTGGCAGAAGAATTTCCTTGCCTGCCCCTGACGATCGTTCTGACGTGTCCGGAAGTTCAACCGTGGCCCCCGTCGATTCACCGGGATAGTGACACCTTGGCAGAGCGACGTGGGACGACATCACTCGAGTCAATAAACCTCAGACGTGAAAGGCATCGAACCCTCCAGATGAGCGACGTGCCAGGAACGCGAGCGTCATCTCGGCCGGAAGATCGTGATTCACCTTGAAGCGGCACGGAAAGTTTCGGTATCTCACCCTCCATGTCGTGACACCTTCAATCTTCCATCAGTCGAGACAGTAGACGCTCCATCGGTCCAATCGGGGAGACCGAAGGTAGTCTGAGAAGTAGGAGAAACATGATTAGCCTTGTTGGAGACAAAAACAAACGGCTCAACAGTGGCCATCGTCGATTGCCCATTCTATTGCTCCTCCCCTGCCCGAAGCCCCAGACCTTGCCCTGAGACATGAGATCCTTCAGCGTGGTACACGACATACAGGTGCGACCAAGCTTCAAGCCAAGCATCATCCGTCAGACCACTGCCCATCAAGCCACAACTACACAACGCAGCAAGAGAATTAAAGAGGAGCAAGCCTCTTTCTCGCAAGATAACGCCAAGGGTAGCCGAGAGACTTCTCGTACACACCACTCTGCTAATCTCTTCTTGTTCTCCACGGAAGAAGTTCTGGAAGGAAACCGTTCAGCCCCTCAGGGGTCGGTGCCACGTGCTCGTACGACTGCGGCCACATGGCTTTGAAGACACGAAAATCCATGGCAGGCGAAATGTGGCGCTCGTTGGTCTGTGAGAATGGGGATGAGGCATCCCGAAGACGGCAGAGGCTAGCAGCCACAACAGTCGATTCAGAGACATTCGGGAAGCGAGCTGGAGGATGAGCCTTCTACGTTTTGCTTGTGGCCCGTGAGAGAAGCTTTTACCGGGTTTCTCGATGCATTGGAACTTTTGGCCTGAGAAAAAAAGGGATAATCGTGACGGAGATAGCTCAGCTCCTGCGATGAACCGATGGTTGGGCTGGCTGAAATGCAACTTCTAGCGAAAATCGAATGGTCCGTGTAGAGAGGATCGGGTTGAGAATTTTTGTCGATGGTTGCCGAATGCCTCGACACGGATTGCCGACTCAAGTTTGTCGATGGCCTTTTCCAGTCGGGCTAGCATTGCCCAAGGCACTTGAGTGGTAGAATTCTGTCTATCGTTCACAACTTGCAGTCAATCCACTGGGTTCTGATTCTTCTATGGACTCTGAACGATCTTCGCGTCCAGAGTGATGATCACACGAGGACTGCATTCGCCAGGATATACTATCGACTGCTATATAGCGGCAGTATACGCATACATACTGCCCTAAGAGCACAGGTAATAGCAAATCGTACATCTATCCGACCTCATTTCCCTTAAATCTGCCTATGGATAATTCAGAAATAAAATCAAAGTTGGAGAAAGACTGCGGAGGAATTTACTAACGCCATCTAGCATTTGATAGGATAAGACATGGAAAACTTTGGTACCTAAGCTTGTCGAAGACTCCATGTCTAAACCTGTGAATTTCTCTAGCAATTTGCGGTCACCTGGGCCACGACTACACGCAAACATAAGTCACTTGCCGTCTGCAAAATTATGCTAGGCAGCTTTGCGGAGAATTTGAAGAGTGTTTCACTACCACATGAACAACCAAGGGACGACGGCCTGACGGTGCTCTTGGGAGATGCTGTTTTTTAATCAGATACCGTATGTCGTAAGCATGTCGTAAGTTTGATTCCGTTATCAGACCCTTATTGAGCTGACAGCAAGCGTAAACTGGCACAATTTGCTTCAGATCACCGAGGTCTAGGAACGGTGATTGTTGGTCTCGTTGAACGAAGGTATGGGTAGTGAAACTGGTGGTATATTGCTTGAACCAGACAAGAGATATGGGGGTGGGCGGAAGGCCGTATTATACATACAGTGCTCTGAGAGCCCTTGTCAACCACTCGTTGGGTCGCCTATTTCAACAGATCTATCAGGGCATTCGAATAACTCTGTCTTGCAATGAGAGTGCTTGCCACGAGAATCATCTACTCTCCTGGATACTTTCAATAGTCCATTAACGAAGCAATTGTAATCACATGTTGCGCGGCATGGCGCATTGAGCCCAAGTTCAGAAGAGCCGAGAAGCCTTGACGTTTGACTCCATCTAGTCTAGGTGAATATATACTTCCGGCTTCACGTTAGGTTCCTTTGTGTATAGGTACTTAGGGAAGACAAGAAGTACTGGATATGAACTTGTAGTAACACGTCTTGGAGATACATGGACTTTGAAGTTTTTTAGACGCTCGTTAAAGCCTGCGGTTGGAACCTGGCCCTCGAATTATTTCCAGACCAGGATCGGAACATCTGTAATCAGGAGAGGCACTGGCGATGCTCAGATATCTTTCGTATGTGGCGCTGTGATTAGCTGGCGGTCTTACAACATGACTCCAGACCTATCATTGTTCGGGACATTAAAACACCATGACGATCGGCGACTAACAGCGTGGAATAGGTAGGCAACGTAGTATTTTACTAATGCCATCCATGCGCCGTCATCAAATAATACCGGCCCGAGGCCCTTTGTGATCAATTGAATGGTGAGCTAGAAGTGCGCTTGAGCCGCGAACTTTCGACTGGCATTGTTTATCTGCGCAGCCGGCCGCTACAAGGACAGCCGATTGGCCGATTTCTAGGCATTAGGAACGGTCGACGGATGCTTGGTTGCCGCCTTTGTTCGAAAGTGCATCGGCAGTAGAACGCGTGGTGGTGTGGTGGCGCAGGGTAGTTTCCCTTCCCGTCAAACCTTGCGAGAGAAGGGTCCTGGATCAAAACGGGCCACCATTTCGTCGTCTTTGGGCAAAGATGAAGGTACTTGGGGCCTTAGATGAAGTCATCACAGCGTTGAATGAGATTTTATCACATGAAGCCATCTTGAAGTCCCGTAAATTCATACAGTACATGGCTCCTTGCTGAGACCTAGACTGGGATCCGAGCTGACAGCGACGATCGCAATCGTTTCCCAGATGCACGGGCTCTTGAAATGCCGATTCGAAGGTGAGAATTGATTCATCGGACCAAACAAATAAGACATGTCACTCGAGACTAGTGGCACTGAGTGCCTTGGCACGATTGGACCTGATGGCTTCTGTGGAATCATTTTTTGCATCGACCGGGGGAGACAGCCGCTTGCCCGGGATCTGCCCAAGCCTGCACATCTTACAAGGACCCTTGAATGCCTTGAGGTCCCAAGTCTCTGGACTTGGGATAGATTTGAATCTGGTTGCATCGGCTTACTCCAGTGCTTTGGGTTCGATTTTGACGAGATGAGTTGTTGAGAATTCACTGTGCGGCATGTATTTGATGATGCCAGACATTGTCGAATATGTGAGGAATACATGAATCTATTCGTAGGTTTTCTTCCTGGTGAGGAGTTTGGAATTACATCTCCTTTCTCTATGCATGCAACCACGTGGTTCCATCATCCACACACGGGCGCGAAAGGGCTTGAGGGCCTCTAAGCAAGCCGGTACTGCGGGTGAGGATTACGGTTCCATTCCTTTTTTTGTTCATTCGTCTACATAAATGCCGTGTCTCAAAGAGGTTGACGGTGCGAACCGGTCGTTGAAGAAAATTGGAGCTCTAAGAAAAGATCAACAGACGTCTATTGCCGTCAATCCCAACGCTAACACACATCCAGCAGATCAAGGACGTAGCCATCCAAATAAAGTAAGCAAGTATTCATGCCGTTTGGATGAGAGGATCTCGTGGGGTTTCGAGCAGGCTGTTTGACTCGGACTTCTCAGACTAAGTCATTGTTGAGTACTAAGATTCCAAAACTTGACGCATGCAAGGCACCCCGTCTCGCTTTTCCTGGATGAGATGGAGTCGTGAAGATCGCAAGATCCAAGACAGAACGGTACTCCTCTGATTGGGCCATCTCTCATCTAGCGCGGGCTAGTCGCAACGTCTAGCGAACTCGGTCTGGTCCGGGGGCACTGAAGCACAGACGGTATCGACAGATCGACATGATGAAGAAGAGAAGGTGAGAAGCAAAGAGGCCGGAGAGGAGCAGAGGCAACCCAAGTCGAGACGAACACCCTGCTCTTCATGGGCTGCGGGCCTGCCAAAGTGCCAAAATAAGGTGTTCGCCATAGCTGAAGGACGCCACAATGCGAGGGGAACAGCGCAGGACAATGGGATTCGCTGCCTCGGTGGGACTGAGCCTCTGTATCACATTGATATTATCGCCAAGCACGCTATCCCACGGCTGGATCTAGCGATCTTAGATGGGCGATCCCCATACTTCGCGGGTGCCAATGCCGTCGCTTGAGGGGCGTGGACGAGGTCTTGCTGCGGTAATCACTTTGTCTTGCATCCCACATCCACGAAAATGCTGTTGTCTTGAAAAGTGCGGCTCTCCCCTGCCCAGATCTGAACCTGAGAACTCCAAGAAGATCACGACAATCTCCCTTCTCCCTTGCCTTTTTCATGCAACGTACAGTCACTACAACACACCATCTTAACAATGGACCCAGCAGCGTTGGCTGGCCTCACGATCTACAATTTCCCGCCCATGCCGCCAAAATGGGATAAAATCGGCATATTTTATATCACGTTCTGCGCAACATGGACAACCATCGTCTTTGCGGGTATGGCCTTCCTCTGGGCCAATCGGAGGAACCCTATCTTGAGACTTCGCGGCCTGCCGCTGGCCTTTGGTTCTATTATCTTTCTGCACCTGTACTGGTGCATGGCTCAGATTACGTATCCTGTCGGCGGAACGATGCCCGTGGTCATCGCATACGACGTTCAATACTTTGTGATGGGCATCTGGTTTCCACTCGGTATCGCCTGCTTCCACGCCTCTAATAGCAGGTTTCTGCACGTTGCGAAGTTGCAGAGGCTTCACTTCACTGGCACTGGTGCCGGAAGTCTCCGAAGAGGATGCAATGGTTCGAAGACGTCATGGCTTTGTCGCTTCAGGAATATGGATTATGGGAGGAGGATTTTGATTTTCATCGGTATCGGTGCGATATTCCAGGTATGTTGAATGGTAAAACTCAAAAGCCTTATTTGGCCGAACGATACTGACACTCTCAAGTGCCTCCTCACAACCGGCATGTGGGTTGCCTGCAAGAAATATCACCCTACCTTCGGCATCCCCGGCACAGAGATCCGCGGAGACAACATAGTAGAGCAGCTGATTGACCTGGGCCGCGGATGGGAGTGGTGGCCAACCCTCCTTTGGCAGTTCATTTGGACTTGGATTGTATGATTTTCTCCTTCCTGGCTTCGATTCCCAATCCTCTACTCCGCGTGATTCACTGAAAGCTGACTGCCTAAAGGTTGCGCCGACGCTCATCTGGCGGGCATGGAGTATTCGAGATACGATGGGGTGGCGAACTCAGACCATCGGTTGCTGCCTTTCAGGGTACGTTACAGTTCCCAGCTTTCTTCGCGGTTGAAATTTGCTGACAGCTCTAAACTCCAAGTCTTCACGCAACACCGATGTTTCTCATCGCGTCATATGTACCAGCCTTCAACACCATCAACATGTACTTTCCACCGAGTCAATGGTGGGTAGCCCTCTCTCACCGCAAAGCCTTGTAGTTTCTGATGCAAAGAACCAGGATTCATCTCTCAACCATGATGTTTGAGATCTTTACGATATTTGTCCCTCTCGTTCAAATCATTCGACTCCGTATCCTCTTGAGGCACGTCACAGAAGCCAATGCAAAATGGGAGACTGAATCACAAACAACACTCAGGGCGTCAACCGCAGCGTCATTTCATGGCAGGAAACGTCCAGGCTCTTCTAGCCAAGCTGAAAAGGGGCAGCCAATTGTCTACCAAACGGGTTCCGCCGATATTGGTCCAGATATTGATAGTCGCCTGTTGACAATGACCGCACTCGATCACGCTCTGAGGGAAAATCAAGGCGTCTTGCAAGAGTTTTCTGCCCTCAGCGACTTTTCCGGCGAGAACATTGCCTTCCTCGCTCGCGTCTCCGAGTGGAAGTCGAGATCGTGGCCGAATGCCATTTCGGATTCGGAATCTCGCGAGTCTCTCGCTCAAGAAGAGCGACTCGATGCATACAATTACGCCCTCCAGATTTACGCCGACTTCATCTCTTTGGAGCATGCTGACTTCCCTCTGAATCTTCCCTCCCAGGATATGAAGCAGCTGTTCCGGGTCTTTGACAAGCCTGCCCGTATCTTGTTTGGGGAAGACGCTTCTGTCAATATTGCTGTGCCCTTTGATGATGCTTACCTGAGATCTCGCACAGGGTCAAGCTCGGGAAGCAGCGGGGATATCCGGCATCAAGCTCGATACACCGGTGATATCCCCTCGGGATTCAGCTCCACGGTGTTTGATAGCGCACAAGGCCACATCAAGTATCTTGTGTTGACAAATACCTGGCCTAAGTTTGTTCGGGAGATGCACTCCAGGCGGCGGTCTAGCGAGACCAGTCGGAGTGTTATGACAGCCGAGACTACAAAATCCGAGTCTTCGCTTCTGACCAAAGTCTCAAGCAGTGTCTCGAGTCTCCTTCGATCTGTCAAGGCTATATAGGCTTGGGCTTACGCAAACTTTCTTGACTGTGAAGGCGGCATACCTACGATGCGAACCCGCTTGCAAGGCCATTTTCCTTTATACTGAGTACGTCACAGATGGTAGCCCACCACTTTTCTTTCGCTTCAATATTCAGCTCAATACCCGGTTGGAGAGCTTCAGCCAACATACTCTAGTACTAGTATCATTCTTCATGTCTTTCAACAATTCCACAGTTGACAGTCAACCACCAATTCACTTTTAAGTATTTTATCATCTCAGTCTATACCTCAACTACGTCCACCACGATGTTGAAAATTGCCTCCTTGTAACCCAAATCTAAACTTGCAAGACGGCCGAACCCCTTTGAACATGCCTAGAGTAAATTATACCTCTGAATCTCGTGCCTAAGGTTAGCGAGAGTGCAGATACTCTCACAATCTTCAAGCGACTGCTCCCGTAAGATTGAACTCGACAGCTAGACAAAGATCATTTGCAGTAGTTTGTCATCAAAGACATTGGATTCCTAAGACTAGGTTGAAAGAAAAAAGACCAAACATCTTTAGACACGCTTGCAATAAGTAATCTACACCCGCTCTCTCTTGAGCCTGTCATGTTGAATGTTACACCGCCACTCTCGCCTCACCCTCCTATGCACCTTCGTAAAGTCTTTTACGCCTCGCCCCAAATTTCGTCGGCAATCTTTCTAATTAGGGAAAGTTTGCTCTTCTCATCCTCCAGACTCAACGGGTATCCGCTTTCGTGGGTGCTGAAACCGCATTGAGGCGATACACAGATACGCTTGAGTGCCTCCTCCTTGGTCTCGCCGCTTCCCTTGGCGACGTACTCTGCAGCCTTGAGAACACGGGCTTTCATCTCCTCCTTATCCTCGAGCTTCGGGATCTTGGTGCTAATGATACCCACGACGACGTTCTTGTTCTTGGGAAGGAACTGGAGGGGCTCGAAACCGCCGGCGCGCTCGGTATCATACTCGAGGTAGAACGTGTTGACGTTGAGGTTCTGGAAGAGCTTCTTCGCGATGATGTCGTAAGAACCCTCGGCGAAGTGGCGACCCCCGATGAAGTTGCCGCGGCACAGGTGAATACCGGTGTGCATGTCTTCGGGAAGCTTGCTTACTGTGTCGTTGTACAGAGCAATGTAGGCATCAAGGAGGTCTTCGACGGTACCTTCGTTGTCCTTGTCCTCCTCCCAGCCCTTGCGGAACTGTTGAGAGCAGAAGTCTGCGAGAGGTTAGCAATTGTATCTTTGCCGGACTCAGCTCACTCACAAGCCATGCCGGGGTCGTCGAATTGAACGTTGCGCAAGCCAGCGTCGTAGAGCTGCTGGAGTTCGGCCTGGTAAACCTTGGCAACATCCTTGAAATACTCAGCATCGTTGGCGTACGCCTCCTTGGTGTACGCTCTGCCCTGCTTGTAGCGCATGTGGAACCAAGCCGGCGTGATCATGGTCAACTTGATGTCCTTCCACTCCTCCTTTGGTAGGGCAGCCTGCACCAAGCGCAGCTCGTGCAAATTAGACTTGGACTTCGAGGGCGAGTGAGACAGCTTTCCGCCGGCGATGACGGAGTCGCCGGGCATGACCTTGCGGTCCTTCTCGATGAGGCTCACCACGTCGGGGTGGTACAGCCGGAACATGCTGGCCTCGGCATCTTGCAAGCGGGTAGAGCCCTCGAACTCATCCCACATGAGGCCCCAGAAACGGGTGCGGTTGAATTCGCCCGAAGTGACGCCCTTGATGCCCAGGTCGCGCTGCAGCTGGACGACTTCGGCGACAGACTCCTTCTCGATGGCGGGAAGACCGGCTTCCTCCTCGGACAGACCCTGATCGCGGATCTTGCCTTCGCGGATGTCGAGGAGCTTCTGAGGGCGAAGGAGGGAGCCCATATGCTCTGCCCTGAAAGGGGGCGCTTGGTGGAGCTTGGTGGACATTTTGGAAGGACTACTGGTATCAATGAATTGCTGGGAAGTAAGATGTCTATCTCTGTACTCTGCAAAACACCCCTCACGTCGAGAATTTTAAAGGTCGCGATATCTCGGTGGGTGGCCGATCTCCTTAGTGTCGAAGGCGGGGCAACCGGATTTATAGCAAACGGATTTACATGGCGGGGCAAAGTGAGGGGTCGATTCATTCAGACATGTATTGTTTGCCGATTGATGGCCAAGGTTGAGCTGAAAGCTAGTCGCCAGGGGTCAGAGTAGCTCACGTCAGCCAGTGTGAAAACCCAAATAGATGGGAAACCAAAGTCAGTAGCATTGGCCGAAAGGTTGTCTCCTTCAAAGCCGTCCCGCGCCGACTCTTCATCGGAGCTCTGAAGAATTAACTAGCTTCTGGGGTGCATTTGTCCCCTCTTCTTATTGTCCGAGAAGCAGTTTTACCCCTCATTCTCCACTTCAGTACTTCGGCAGTCGCATGGCCAAGGTTGATGTAAGTCCCATCAAGAAGACGGGAAAATCTCGTGTGTCACTCTCAAATGGACGCCTACGTTCCTGACAATTTGACGTCCTCGCATCAGTACTAATGAGAGCAATATCAGAGGACATTGAAAAAATAGATGAAGTTGACTACATGGCGAAAGGAATGGCAAAGCCCTTTATGATAATTACAAGACAAGTATGGGCACGGCGTTACCGGGATCATTGATAACGTTAAGACGCAATCAATCGAACTTCGTGAGTTCCCAACGACATTTGCATGTGTCGAGTTCTTTAGAATGGAGACTCTCAAAACAACGAAGGAAATCAAACCCTTTATTGAGCAAACTTTCGCGAACAGTGATCTCATTTACGAGCAAGGCAATAAAGCCGAAAGCACTGTTCAAAGCATGAAAGAAGTTGTTATGGCTCACGGAGGTAGGCACCCTGGCGCTGTTGGGTGAAGATAGCCAGACGCTTCGCGGTAGCCACGGAGTCGGACTGTAGGTGCCATGAACTTTTCCTCGTTAACACACATGGCATCTTAAATCTCATGTGACGGCGCAATAACCATTCCCTAAGTCCAAGACAAAAAGGGAAATTGAGAATCTATTGAGGTAACTCTAGTGTATCGGGGCAGTCCAGAACGCAATATTGGAAAAGCAGCGTAAGTGTTGTTCTGAAGGAAGTATTACATCATCTGGCGAAGGCTGAGTTTTCATTCATTATCGCAGGAGAAATAAAGCTTCTCGGTCAACATCATAGCCACCAAATGCCGACCTCATCGCATCCAGTGTTCATAGTGCTCCAGCAAGCCCCGCAACAGACACAACTTAGCCGACAACATCTTCAAACCATGCTTCGGGTTTCTTCGCAGCAAATAAAGATGTCGTTAGAAAACGCCCAATCAGTCAGTAGGGTAGAGGGAATTCCCGGAAGCGATCTCATCAAGACACTGACCCAAATCGAAACGTTGCGCAGGTAGATGCATTTAGATCAGTCGCATACCTTGTTTCTCCAGATTCCTGAGCCCGGAAGGCTGACCACACCCCTTTCAAACGTTTGCTTGTCATTACTTGCCAGTCTCTAAGACATGGAGCCAGCAGTCACTCTTCACTACTTTTGTGGTGTCCTACGCGAGGATAGCGCGCAAGGTCGCTTCCATCTTTTGCGCAGTTTGATCATTCAGTTGCTTGAGAATTTCCCAGCTGAGCGAGCATTCGCCATGGACATCGATTATGCGCTACTATCTGGATGGGATTTCAACGCCTTGCGGCAGCTATTCGAGATCATTTTGCTGTCTATGCCAGGGCCAGTGATTTCATGCGTGATCGATGGGTGATCACGTTATCCGAACGAGGATGAGCTGTAGGTCACTCTGTAATATCTACTTGGGGCCTGCCAAGCACAGTCTCCCTTCGTGAAGCTGAAGCTTCTCCTGACGTCTCCTGTCCCTCTATACATGTCGCAGCAGATACTATCATGCCTTATATGGCAATCTGATGGAGAACGGTCTGAAAGTCCTCCACCTGTACTTTTCCGCAACCCCGGGGACGATCGGTAAGGTAGAGCATAACAAGATGCCGGACGGGCTCTTTGAGTTGAGTCTGATATTCCGAGCAATTGAACATTGCCATAATCGATCTTACCGCTTGCTAGGCGCTGATTTAGATTGAAATGACCAGAGTTGTTCTCATTCCAATTCATGTAAAACGCTGAGAACACTCAGAATCGAATATAACAGGCACAATCTACTTGATTCGGTTGACTCAACTCCCATTCAAGTTATCAGTCTAGCCTCCCCTCCTGAGCCCCAAGCAAGCGTATTTAATCTTCACAGCAGCTGGCACTGGACTCTTGCACATGACTCGCCGGTGGCAACCTCTCTTTGCGTGCATGAATGCCGTGAAATGACTGATATCTTGATGTTCAACTCTAAGATATTGCATCATTTGCCAGGATTCATATTGAATGATGGAGGTCTACTCAACACACGCACTTTCTGAGATAACCTCCTGAAAAAGAAGCTTGACCCTCGAATGCCTCTTTCGATGCAGAGACACGGCAATGTAGTTTCTAGATGAGAGATAATGTTTTCCTTTTGACATTGTCCACGAACATTCTGTTCTTTCCTCTAAATGATGCGATTCCAATGCGTCGGAACCTCTCATGATCAGTCAACTTTACTTTCAGTGACTCATTGCCACGAGAGAGAATCAGAAACGTCTCCTTGAAAAGCTTGCCATCCGTGGCCTCCTCGATTATACTCGTCCTGAGAAGCAAGCAAGGGTATGGGAGTCTGGAATCTGTTGGATGATCGGGATCGTCGAATCGTCCTGAGCAGGTCCAGGGAATTGGACCCTTGGAAAAGTCGGTCTCTTCGTCGTCAAGCAGCATGTATGGTGGATTATATATCATGGCCTCGGGCGGTATGCGGACTGAAACACTTTTGAGAACCCCACGTATAATGAGATGACAAGAGTCGATCTGGGATGTCATCGGGATTCCCTCCCACTCGATGCCAGACGCAATCAATTTCACGTCATTAGAGACTTTGAATCGGCGTTGAAGTTTGAAGCCCCAATCATCTACCATGATTGGGGCATTACAAGAGAACCAGGTCCAAGAGGGTGCGCCGGAAACACCGGGCCCCTTCTTTGGACCATCTCTGATCCAGGCCAAGTCTCGAGCCAGATGGCCAGGGCAAATTCCGAGAATCGGTTTTTTTGACGTTAAGTTTGCGTAGTGTTTGGTAATCCCAGCGAAAGCTTGCAGCCGGTCGGAGGCGATGGTGAAGTCTCGCTTAGAGTAATCTTCGATCCATCCAGGCCACCATTGGGAAATTTGCGAGGTTGGGTATGTCGAATCGCTTGCCGTAAAGTGGGGGACCTGGTAGGTCTGAGTAGCTTGAGTTTCGTACAAATATTGACATTGCCAGTGAACTCCCGACTTCAGACAGTGAATAATCCTTGGGGATAAGATCCGTTCTTGGAGCGCCCATCCTCGTGTGCTGAGATGTGCTTGTCGGGGAATTTCGCGGGGGTCAAGAGATTAAAAGCGGATCATCCTATTGCAAGACGTTTGGGAATAACCGCGCTCTTCCTTGTAGGTGAACATCCGAACTGTAGGATCTGCCTTATCTCCTGCCACACCCTCAGGGGTTTCATTGCCTCCTTGACTTGAGTCTTTGTCATATATAACTGCTTCCATGCAATCGTCGTCTCCTGGGAAACAGCCTCCGTCGCTATCCCACGCATCGCTTGCCGCTATGGTGACGAGGCTTCCAGCATAGAAATCCCCCATTCGAGATGCCTCTAGTTCCCACTCTGCCTGGTCATCTTGTACTATACACAAAGAGTCAATCCAAAGATAGCGGATACCTAATGAGCGGACAAATCTTATGGCGTGTCGAAAAGTTCTAGGAAGAAGATTCTCAGGTATAGAAATGCCAAAGTCTTCTTCCGTAGCTTTCGTAGTTCTCAATGGAGTCGAGACTCCCCAGCAATAGCTCAATGTTGCATATCGCACAGAGCCGGAGAGTTGCTGGAATACTTCACTCGTGGTAGGCACTAGGCGTAAAGGTTGACCCGATCTCGTATCGATGAAACGTTTCGGTAAGTTGCCCTTGCGTGGTTGGCAGTAGCTACCGTGCGTGCTCTCACAAGTATTCAACCAAGTCCTTGCACATAGTATTCTGTCTTCTGCCAAACTCCGAAGTGGATACGTTCGACCTGACATCCAAAAAGAAGGATGCTGATTTGCTATGGGCTGTGATCAGTACATAAGTGTGAAGTCTTTTGCCGTTTTACCTCAGTCTAGAACCAAGAATTGGGTAGAGACATACCCTCATCTGAATTCTGTGGCGAAATGCCTATTGATGCCTCTGAAAGATACACAAAACTATCTCGTGTGATTTCCAAAGAGATCTCAAGGCTTGCCCAAATAATCCTACCAGTATTATTTACCTCCAGTACTTTCAGAGAAACGGGATGTGAGCTATCAGTTGTGACGTGTTTGAAACGCTCTCTAGCCTGGTTCAGACTGTGTTCGATTGGCAACTCCCAAAGAGCTGCGCACAACGGACAGTCTTTCTTGGTAATGAAGAGTTCGTTGGTTTCTTGCTCCCATACGAGCCATGGTGTTTGAAACTTGAAAGGAGACTTCAAGCGGGTGGTATACTCAATAAAATGCCGACAAATCTTGCATGGGCCCATGTCTACCCAGGTATATTATGGTATTAACTCAGTCGACTACTTCCCGTAGCGTCTTCGAGCCTACCGACGATACGAAAATTGAGACAAGGCATGTGGGATCAGGGAGACCCCGATGTTCATGCTGGTCAGAAGAAGATCAATTTGATCGAATTCGCAGCTTGGCTACAAGTCTTCCAAACCAGGCAGCAGCCGGCGCTTGTGCGGGGTAAGTTTGTGATGCTGGAGGCTTTAGAATGCGCAGCTGAGGTGTCACTTGCGGGCCGATGAGCGACTATTGGTTGATATTAACGTGAGACTTCAGCCCCAGGCCATCTAGCTGAACGTGACTTTTGCGATTTCAAGTTGCCAAACTCCGAGGTCCGCATCGAAGCATAAATATCCTTACAACCCCTGTTTTCAAGCAGAAATTTCCGCTATGAGGTCCTCCGTGTTCATCCGCAAGCTGTCTTCCAGGGAAGTCCATCCAGGCTTACCCAGCCTCTTCAACAGTGCTTCGGCGCGATCCACGGGCTTGATGATAATTGGGAAAGGTTCGTTGGCAAAGTTTTCGTGAATGTTCTTGCCCGGGTGCTGCTTACGCAAGATCTCGAGCACATCATCCCAGCAGAACGACTGGGCGAAACCAAAGATGCGCTCGCTTTTGACGTCGGGTAAAGTAGCAGCAGCCACGTGCAGGATAGCGTCGTCCTGTACATCGATGAAGTACTCTGGCACAAAGTTAGCCATAGAGCGCCAACTCTCCAGTGTTCAACTTTCAGCACTTACGGGGGTGGCTAAAGTGAGGAGGCATTCTCTGACCCTCGAGGAAAGGCAGTATGAAACCTGAAGTAGACCTGTGTCCCTGGTTTACGACATCAAGACTCTTTCCCAGATTCATACTTGGTAGGACTATCAGGGCGGTTAATATTCGAGACCGAGAAGCGCAGGAGCTCACAGTGCAAGCTTTTCTTACCAGAATTGACAACGAGGTCAGGGCGTTTGGACTTGTTCTCCTCGTGATACTTCCAAACGGCTTGCTCCTGCTCAACCTTACTGGCAACATAGACGAAAGCGCCATGCTCGGGACCCCATGGGCCCGGCGTCCAGGCCAATTCTTTCGCGTCAGGACTCCAGGTGTCTTCGGTCACAACCGCACCCTTCATCTTCATGAAAGTTTCAGGGTTCGCGGCCAATGTCGTTGACGACGATGACGTCAGCACGAAGCGCTTCACGCTTGGCTCCCTATAGGAAGCCTCGAGGGCAATCAAGGCGCTGTCTTTCGCGGTCGGAATGACCTTGTTTGGGTCAGGATCGAAGCTAACTACGGATGCCGTATGAATGAAGGCCGAGACGCCTGACAGGTGTCAGCATGATAATAAAGTATGTATTTGATAGTTGGAGCATCAGATACTACCTTTTACAACTTCGTCGTAAGCGTTTTCCGCAAGCATATCTGGAACCGAGACTAATTCGAAGTGGCCCTTGCCATAAATCTTATCAAAGTAGGCGTTGAGCCAGCTGCTCTTCTCGATGTCTCGAACAGTACCGCGAACCTTGTAGCCATTCTTGATGAATTGATCGGCTACATGTGATGCGATGAATCCATTGGCCCCAGTCACGAGGATCGTAGAGCCGGTGGGTATTACAGGGCTTGTGGAAGTAGTCATGTTGTTGTTTTGGTGTTCATCAAAAAGATCTTTGACATAGTGTGTCGAGGAATGGAACGATACGGTTGGTCTCAACTAAATATATAGAGTCCGAGAGGAGTAAATAGAGTTCTCGACCTCGTTCGAAGGTTGCTGCCCTCCGGGCTTCATCCCATCGGCCCCGTATGGGTGCCCGTAGATCGTCTCCGCTTACAAATATTTGCGGAGCACGGTTTACTCAGTTATACTGTAAACGCTATGAAACTTGACTCATGTACCGATTCCTTCAGCTAATGTAGCGGACTTTCGGAGTGTACATTGTACATGATGTGAGACAAAAGTCAGGCAAAGTCGCAAAAAGATGCGTAAAGAACACGCAGGCTCCCGGCCGGCGTATGCATGCCCCGTCCGGGGGCCGCATATACGGCCGAACGGTCGGAGCAGTGCAGATTATGGCTGCATTATTCAGCCGGCGATGACTCCTCCGCCGCAATGCGCGGACTTTCGGTGGTAGCGCTGACCGACACAGTAAGCCTTAAACCCGGGCGTGTCCCGCTACCATTGTATCCACCAGCAGAGCATGGCGCCAAGGTTGTAAGCGTCAACAAAAGAGAAGTTCTATCAATTTCCATCCATGACATTCTCCGCCATCGTGATTGCGATTATGAGCAGCAGCTGACAGCGCAGTCCCAGGACTTGACGACAGATCAAAGCTCACGCCCGATTCAACGGGCTTTGAACATTAGGTACTCAGAAGACAACAGTGTCTGACTAAGGTACTAATGATTAAGATAAAGTCTACTCCGTAATATGGTGTTTAAATGCGAAGACCCCCCCGAACTTCAATAAATAGGTGAGACACTAGCACCGCGGAAATCCTACGCAAATATTCCCGCATGCTTGTCGCTTGCACGACCCCAAATTCAGCGCCCCATTTTTAGGCACTTTTATGTGTGCTTCGGCTCATGTAAGTGCAACTTTTCCAGTCACAAGTATCCTATGTAAGATCATGGTTAGCATGTTGTTCTCACGGCATGCTATGATAAGGTGTCATTGACTTACTTTATGAACTTCAGTACCCCACCAACTAAGCTTCTTGGAAGCCCCGGTGTAGAATATGGCGAAGAAGATTACGATTCCAGCAATAGCAACTGAGCAGTCCAGCGCTGAACTGAGAACGAAATTGTAACGTCTCCACCAAGTCCTCTGCCTTCTCTTGATGAGCAAGCCAAAAACGAGGCCGACAATCGCCCAGCTGCCGTAGTTGGTTCCCGACGCCGGGGGAATGTAGTTGAGTCCGCCGAGGAAGAGGGGAACGTGAACCTTTTTCAGCCACTTGGTGTCGGGGAAGACTCTCTTTCTGACCAAGTAGACGATCACGGGCAGGACGGCGCCGACGAGGAAGAACCACAGCAGTGAGCGATACATCGCGCCATCAGCAAAGAACCTACGAGGCCCGAGGGCACCCCACACCATGCTGGTGTTGAAGTGCGTGCGAGAGAAGGGGCACGTGAAGCCGTTGGGAGCGTTTGTGGAGCAGATCTCTGGGATGTGATTGAGAGCCCAGTTGAGGACGGAGACTTGACCCAGAGAACCGATAATAAGACCCACTGACTGGACGAGGAATAGTTTTCGAGGCGGAATCTACAGCAACGTGTTGTCAGCACAAAAATGATGGCTTTGAAGGGAAAGGGAGGCGGAAGACTCACATTACAGTAGATACCCAGTTTCAAGTCCTGTGCAAATGCCAGGCCTTTGATGCCAGAGATATAGCCAAGATTAAAGAACCAGATGTTGGCCAAGACTTTGCCTTCCCAGATATATCCTGCAATGATACGGCAGAAAATATCAATCTGGATCTTCATATTTGTGGTTGCATAAACCCAAGCCAGCTGAATTTGATCAATTAGCACCTCTTCATATATGAAGCGGTCTGAGAAAGTACTTACGGGGACGAAAAAGATGGTAGACACTGTAAACGCGAGGATAACCCCATACCAGCGAAGCTGAACTGGGTAGAACTCGCAAGCAAACATCCCGAATCCCAGAGCAAGGAGCGCAGCTACCCAATACCACCAGAGCGGGACAGCCTTGTAGCCGGGCTGAGGGTTGTGTCTGGGGATGATCTTTCCCCCAAGGAGAGCAGAAAGCTGGGTGGACCTGAACGCAGCTGCAATGTGACGACGTTTTTCGAGGAACAACCAAACGAACAGTGATGCGATGGTCGCAAAAGAGAGACCAAAGGTGTTAAGCGCATATGTAACAGGAAGATAGATCTAAATGAAAAAGGTAAGCGTTCTTGTATCACGAACTAAGGCAGTATGAGGAGTTTGGGGTATTTGCTTACGTCTGAGTAGTTGGCGTACTTGACAGAATCGAAAGTAAAGTCGTCCTTTTTGTTAATCACTCTGGAGACATTGAACGTCTTTCCCAAGTTATCGTAAATGGAGTTGCTCTGGATAGGCAAGTAAGCCGAGTCCCAAGTGTTTGAGTAGTAAAGCGCCGGAGAAATGATGTAAATCCAGAACACCAGAGAGGCTAGGATGTTGAGAATGGCCCACGTGGGAACGACGAGCGGAGAGCCAATGTAGGCAATTTGGCTCCCGGATTGAAATCAGAATCCATGAGTCTTCCGACATTTTGATGGGCCAGCAAGGGTTCACTTACAGTCGAACGTGAACGGAAACAAACCGATGCCACTTTTCATGCCGAACACCTGGTTGACAACCGCATTATTCGGAGCAATCCAGCAGACCCAGGTGAAGTAGCCCAGTGCTGGGAAAATGAAGTCTGGGAACCAGTACCAGCAGAATGAGGCAATGAAGGCGAGCATGAAGAACTTATAGCGAGATGCCGTCCACTTTGCTCTAGGGTGCCGTATTTGTCAGAATGATTTGAACTGAGCATTGACTGATTTGAATTCACCTACTCCGTCTCGTCCTCTCTCTTGCCAGTGTGCAGTGCGGCATTGAGAGCCGTGTTTCCGAGAACACCAGGCCACAGCAACCCTGGAGGCTCAACGACTAATGCATAGCACAGTCCAGCCAAAGCGAAGCCGTAGAGAATCGTTGACAGTGTAACGGTCAACTCAAAACCCCATCCTGCCTCAAGCCCGTAAAAGACTCGCTGCTCAGTCAAGACGTCGGCACTCAGCCGGGTCAAGAAGCTAAGGTTGGCCATGATATAGACTAGGATGTTTTCCTACGAGATTACCGGCGATTAGCGGTGGGATGCTAGGGGGGCTATGATGTCCAGGGATGATGCCAACCTTGTAGTTGAACGGACCTGGGTTCAGGCTGATGCGATTACCCCTGATGTTGAAACCCCAGTCGGGAACAACAAATTCCCATGCTTTTCCAACAGGGTATGCCAGAAACTGGATCGCTGACTGGGAGAGACTGATGGAAGGGAACCGGAACGTGTACAAGGTGTTGACGCCACTACCCAAAAGACAAAATCCAATACCAATCACCCACATGCGGAGAGTAAGGCATGGCAACGAAGGGTCATCGGGTCTTAGACCAATTCCAGCGGCATATAGGACATCTCGACTCGGGACGGATGATTCGTCTAATCTTGGTCAGGGAGGATATTTCTGAATGAAATTTCGTTAATCGCACCTGAAGAACGCTTGGCTTCCTCAATAGACGTTGTCGGTGTCACAGGCTCTGGCGCGACGTCCGCGACGTCCGCCCCCTCGATGGCGGACTTTTGATTCGCCTCGACGTTGGCCATATTCGATTGTCGAAGAAAAGTGTACACGGCTGGGACGAGATCATCAAGATTAGATCAGATTAGATGCGACGAGGTTCGATCAGACTTTTATCCTTCCCGCTCAAAGCTTGGACCTCGGAGCCTCCGCGTCTAAGACGGGACTCGGCGGCGCCAGAGTGGGAGGGGTCCCACATGTCCCGTGCCGGACTCCGGCCGCTGGCGTAAGCTTGATGAATCCGTGATTGACACAACGGGATGTTTTGGGGGTATTTGTTCGTATTTGTCTACGGAAATGGTTCCGAACATGAGAGGCATATGGCCAACCATGTCTTTAGGTGCAGCAAAAGGCATCGGAATTCCGTCCCGTTGGCATTATCCTTGGTCACGGTGACCGCGGGAGGCTCAACCCATGGCCTTGTAGGGCTTAACGAGAGCCATTTGGAGTAGCGCTAATAAGGCTTTTGACGCCGTCCGGGCCGAGAAAGTGGTGGAGGGGACACTGAGACGGGGATGCGGCCTCAAGATGAGATGGTTTCTCCACTCTTTAGATCTTTTTGTCCATTCAGAGGCGATTGTGTAGTCAAGAATTCTCTGGATTGCCGACGGCTTCTGGCTATTTATTCCATTCGAGGTCAAGTGCGGCTACCGCGAGTTCAGCCATCTTGACAAACCAACAATGTTTGTGGCGCGAGATTTTCGCATTGGAGGTATGGATACTGAGAGCTTGCTCGACCCAAAAAGGAGATGTCGTATTTGATTCCTCGCCGAACTTCCGAAGCAGTGACAAACGAGATGAAGGTCGAAGCGTGCGAAGGCATCATGCAGAGTTCGAGCATGCTTTATCTTGTAGTAACTACCTTACTCCAGACACATAAGACTCGTGTAATAAGTACTCCCATAAAGCAGCTTTTGTCTTTCTTCATAGTTTACACTCACGACAAACTGTCGAGCGCGATACCTACAATCAAAACCATGCCCGATGCAGCCTTATACTGCTTGTTACCGAGACCCAGCGATGCGACGAGAGGCCTTCACCAATTGCAACGATCTTACAACATTTTCAAGCCGGTCTATCAATGGTCCGTGAAAATGGGAAAATTGCACACGCCAGCGGCCAAAATGAGGGATAAAAAGCTCCAGTTTCTCGCTCTACCCCCTTCTTCCCGAACGAAATCCGACCAACTCCACCCACATTGTACCGGTTTGACCCGTTAGCCCACGGCCAAACTCCGTCGACCTCGAACAGGCCGAATCATCATCCACCGTTGACACATTTAGCCGCTCGTGGGGCCTTTCCAACCGAGAGTACCATTCCGCATTCCGCATGCATGCACGGCCATGCATTCCCTCTCGTGATTCTCCAATTCTTTCCCTGAATTTGGTAACTGCGAAACTCCAGTTCTGCAGGTTGAAGACCCCATCTGTAGTGTACCATGTACGGCCGTTCTTGCTGAGCTATTGGGTATGACTTGGACGAACTTTCTGCAACTGCGGCCGTGGAAAGTGAACCCCATGGGCAAAGTGTGGATTTGTGTGCCTCCATCTCTTCTTTTTGAGGAGCGTCGTGGATCCTTGGGTCTCCTGTCAATAATAAGCTCAGGGCGCCAAGACGGCTCAGCACAGGCCTGAAGCTTGCCTCTCATTTCTGACAGTTGTTGGTTCCCAGACAAGACAGCATGCATCCGGTTCGCAGGTCCAGACGGCGAGGCCTGCTTCGAACTTCCAAATGCCTCTGATTTTGAAGACCGGCCAACTTCCGGTTGCCTCTCTAAGACAACCCGTGCTCTGAAGGATGTGAAAATGATCCTAATGCATTGAAAAAGGTCCAGAGCCTTAGAGATCGCAGACTTCACTGAGGCATCGCCACTTGTCTCACCATTTGTCTGAGACATTGAAAAAGGCCCAGATCTGGCTGGAACTGCTGTCTGTCTCCATTGCGGCTTAGTCCGGGTTCTGATCCTCCTGCTGCAAGGCTGCGAGCCTTGCAGGTCCCTGCGTATCGCGATTCCGATTCAAGCTGTATTTTGGTAGCCCATCGGAACTTTGGTTCAAGTCGTCTTACTCTTACGGCACTGATTGGATTTCTTAAGGTTCAAGATATGCATCAGCGTACCTTTGCTCGCAATTCTCTCAGAGTGTGGTCCGGTACGGCATTTAAGAAGAAAAGAGTTAGAAGAAAAACTCAAACTGACGATCTTCGATGATGATCAAAGATTCTAAAGCCTCAAATCAGTTCGTAATCCATGATTGTTATTACTTACCCGGCATGTATCAAACTCTGCCATGGATGTGTCTACTTTGTACATGAATAAGAAGTCTTTCGTCCACATCATCTGGCGGCTTTTGCTTCATTTTTGCCGTCCTGAAGGTTTGAAGATTTGAAAGACCGAAAGTACGTATATGTCGAACTTCATGAATATAGCTGCAACCAGTCATGATTAAAGCAAGATTTATTCCATCAATTATCACCCAGAAGCTACTCAAAATATCATTGCCGAAGTTCAGACAGCATCCTAGGTGACTTAAGTCTCTACTTCCGCTCAGTAAGGAGCACTGAGACCTCAACTTGAGCAGTTTGAATACAGTGCTGCTTTTGCCCATTTCGACTCCATCATTCCAATGGCTGGTCTCCCACGGTGTAAATTAATCCTGAAATCCGTGTTATCGCGCTTCTTCGTTTCGGCAAGGCCCGGGAAATCGAATTATTAATGGTGTCGTGGGAATCGCCTCATTAGTGATCTCAAGACGAGAAAAAGCAGGAACTCGATAATTTCGTTGTGTTCAATTCTTGACTAAGATACTCCTGATAGAGCTGTACAGTTGATGGTCTGGGCTCGCAGCCCTCTGACCGTTGAGAGAGGAATTTGGCAAGAGATCAGTGGACAGTTTGACTGGCAACATTCGAATTCACAATAACTTCACATTATACCTGTGGTTAGGTTCACACAAGTGTGGTGAGAAACCATCGTCGACCATAGCCTAAGAACCATGGGTTTCCGAAATATTGCGGATTTGACTTCTGGTGGGCTTCGCCGCAGAGAGCCCATGGGCGTTCTGTTTCCGAGGCTTGTCTTCCGAAACTCCGAGAAAAGCAATATTGGCTCGGTCTTTGTTTCGATAATGTCAAAGATGTTGATGGCCGCCCAGAGAAACTGCTCGACACACTCGATGACGAGCTGAAGAACAGTAGCAATGCAGCCTGCTGTTAGATTGTTGGCTGAAAGTACTCGGCTGAGAAAGGCCTGGACGTCTCTTGGCGGAGCTCGATTCGGGTTGACGCGCCTATTCGTTGTTGAATTTCGTTCTAGTTCAACCGTGGACATGGAAACTCTAAGCGAGAGGTTTCCCAGTTGCCGTGGGCTGAGGCCGTGAGTCTAGGAGAGTAATCGGATCGTCTTTGGGCAACTCGGAAACTGTCGTCTGCAAATCGTCTATTGCGGCTTCTCGAAAATCATTTTTGCCCAACGTCGTAATGGTCTGGCGTATGAAACTGAAAGATGGTTTCGATGGCCGTCAAGTTGGGGTGCTATGCCGTCTTTGTTTCCTTGAGTCAGTGGGCTCGTGAGGACTTTCCCTCGGAGCACGTCGTGATAAAACCGACATTTGACGGCGATGCACATTACCTCCGATCCAGTCAGAATTGAAGTTACGAGACAACCGCCTGGGGCGCTTGTGGCAATACTAAATGATTTTTTCTTTCCTTCTGGATCGGATTCGGCCAAGAATGCCTGGAGACTCAGCTTCTCTTGATGAGCCCTTTTTCGGGGACTGGCCATTCGGGGTATTTTCCCTTTCCAGTAACTTGCTCGGTTGGTTCGTACTTCTGACCTGTCGAAAGATGCTTCCATAAACCCACATCGCTCAGGTGTCAGTCGAGAACTGCCGCCGCTATCGATACCGGCCAGTGAGAATTTGGGCAATTGTCCTGGTCGGTCAGCGCGCCCCTGTTGGCGTTCAGGTTTTGCATTGACGGCTGAGAGACTCAATATCGCTTGTCGTCCGCGACGAGGAGCGATCGTGGAGCCTTTTTCGTGTCGCTCTGGCGCCAACAAGCCTTTTTGACACATAGAAAATTCCATTTTATTGAAAACGTAGTTCAAAATAACTCAGACCAACTGAACAGCCACACCGTGACACCAGAGAAATCAGACACATAACGCGCCACGTCAGCTGCGCTTAACCCACCATCACGTCCTTCTCTATGACTCGACGATTTGGGGGTTCACTCGAGATGGATAACGGCACAGCAATTAACGGCACATCATGCCGGCGTCCTGGCAATAAGTCGGACGCAGCAGCCGTTCCCGTTCCTCGCCGACCGTGGCCCGTGATCGGCGGAATGGCCCTGATGTGGCCCGAGGTACATGATAACCTTCCCTCCGGGAAAAAGCCAAGGCTACGGATCAAGACACCAGCAGATCATCGCATGGTCCCATAGGGTGTCTTTTTTGAATCTAGTCCACTATAGGTGCTCATCACTACCTAGACAGATGGTAGACGGGTGACGGGCAGGAGGCGAAAAAACAGAGTGAGACCGAAGACACCATCACCGCCTTGGCTCGCACTGCTCACTGCTCGATCCCACTTGCCGCGATGTGCGTCCTGGCACACCTTGTCTGCATGGATGGCGCCGAGTTTTTGGATTTCTCTTCACGGGAACAGCTGTTGATTGGCCATATTGAGGTGACAAACTACTTCTGCAAGGATCCTTGTGGTGTCACTCCAGCACTGACCGACGGGATATGGCCATTCGATCGTTCATGGATAATAAGCCCGCTTGAAAGTGGGGGTTTGGCTTAGCTTACGGATATGTGGGAGATGGTCCCTTGTTTGGTCTCGTTTTTGCACCCATGTTTTCAGCGATGCTCCCTGCATTGCCAAGTGTTGAGGGAAAAAAAACATTTTCTGCCACCAACGGCTGTGCCGCAAACTTGAAGAAAGTCAAGAGCGCTATTAGTTGTAGAAACTTGCTTAGCGGTACTTAGGACGGGTACTGGGCTGGTGAGCTTTTCGGGAGGCGT